CTCATTTGTCCAGAGAGGTAGTTCTAGTCAAGGTAAATGAACAAAAATCCATACATTTTCTTTATTCTCACAACGTTCCTGTTATAATTGGGTCAAAAACTACAAAATACCTATGAATATGCTTTTGAAAGTAGGTACAAGGCACACGTGAGGAAAACAATACATGCTTATTAAAATACATAAAACAAATTCTGAACAAATGGGAAAACATATACTCAATGTTCCCAAAATTTAATGTGTAATTTTAATGCAATTCTGTGTAGAATTCTGACAAGGGATTTTTGTTTCTGTGTGTGTTTGGGGTTTGGGAATTGTATAAATGTCTTAAAGAATAATCAATCAATTTAGTTTTGATCACGGCATGGATAAGTCAGTGGAACATGATAGAGAACCCAGAATCAGATCCATTTATGACAAGGACGACAGTTTAATTCAAAGGAAAGTGACTGGATTATTCATAAAATGTGCTGGCAAACTTTTTATCAGTCCATAAAAAAAAGTGAAAACAGTCTATATCATCTCTTGTAACCAAACAAAAACAAGTGAGAATAAAAGGCACAGCATAAGGAATATAGTCAATGATATGGTAATAGTGATGTGTAGGGTCAAAGATTAGTAATCCATCTGAGAAAGGTATTGTTGTACGGATGCTAGACGACGGTCAATAGCTATGCTATATAAAGAGCTTTTGGATGTAAATGAAAAGCACCACCATATAAAAATGGAGTTGACCATATATTCACAGACAATTCACATGAGCGCGAACCCACATGGCTGAAAAACGTGTGAAAAGATGTGCACATTCTCTGCTAGTCGGAGAGATGCAAATTAGAGCCGCCATGAGATATCACTTTACACTCATCAGAGTGGAAAACACTAGAAAGAGTGATAGCATCCATCGCTAGCAGGGAAGGAGTCTCCTCCAATGTGAGCTGTTTCCGCCTTTGGGAAAAGCCATATGGGAGCATTTATCACCGAATTAAAAATCAGATATCTCATGGCTAAGTTTCCCCACTCTGAGAAGCCTTGCCACAGAAATAAAGGCAGCGGTCTCTTTGTTCCCCAAATAGGCTGATCCTCTCAGGACCTCACGCCTCTGTGCATCCTGTTTCCTCCACCGTGGATGCTCCTATGGGTTGAACTGTGTCCCCTAAAAATTCCTGTGTTGAAATCCTAACCCTAAGTAACTCAGAATGTGACTGTGTTTGGAAATAAGGTCTTTACAGGGGCAATCAAGCTAAAATGAGGTCGGTAGGGTGGACTGTAATCCCATATGACTGGTGTCCTTACAAAATGGGGAAATTTGAACACAGAGACAGACACGGATTGAGAGAAGACAAGGTGGAGATATAGGCAGAACGTCATGTGAAGATTTGCATTATACTTTAAAGCTACTAGAAACTACTAGAAGCTAGGAGAGAAGCCTGGAGCTTACTCTTCCCTAAGGCCTTCAGAGAGTGCATGACCCTGAGGACATGCTTGATCTCCAACTTCTATCCTCCAAAATGATGAAAAATCAAATTTCTGTGGTTTAAGCCAGTTTGCGCTACTTGATCATGATAGTCCTAGGAAACAAATACATTTTCCCTCTTACCTGGCTCACAAACTCCAATGCACCCTACGAGATCTATGTAAAATTTTACCTCCTCTGCAGAGGCTTCCCAAATCATTCACCCCTCTCCTCGTCTGGGTCCCAATATTTTGTGCATGCTCCTCATATAGTACTTACAAATCTGAGTTAAATTATTCAATAATTGGAATTACATTTAAAATATTTCTTCTCTGCTAGACCTCGACTGCCCACCCCTCACCCCCCAAGACACAGGTCGCGTGAATCTACTGTAGGCCAGTGCGGTATTGAGCACAAAGCAGCTCACAACTATTTACCACACAATGGGAAAAAATCTAAAATAAGGCTTCCCCCTCCATCACCTCAAAGCAGGAAGAGATGCAAGTGAACGCAAAAGGCTCCTGGAACCATAATTCTTCTCTCTTGGCATGGCTCTTCAATTCTAACAAATTGACTTAATAATGAAAATGTCTTTAATGGGGGCAATATGGCAAAAAGTAATTAACTCCCTAATTGAAATCTAGAACTTTAAAAGTAATTAATGGGCGGGCCAAATTGTCCTTCACAGCAAGAGTGCAGGGGCGAACCAGCCGCAGAAGGACTCCAGGCAGGTGTTGTCTGAGCAAAGCACGTCGGCGGGCAGCATGCGCGCACGTCCACATGATGAGTGTTCCCCCTAATCACTGAGGAGATGCCATCAACCAGGGCTGGCAGGTGCCACTTCGTTCTGTAAGAAGGAACTTTTTTTTTTTTAACGAGCAAAGATGTTCATCACCATTTCGCACTCAAGCGCTTGGAGGAAGGGGGCGGGGCCCCTTTTTCTGAGTCGATGTGCGTCGAGCCCCCCCAGAATCTGGGGCCCTGGCGTCCTTCCATCATCTTGGAAGCTCTGGAGTTCACTCGACCCCGACTGCAGGGTTTTCTCCGGCTTCTTGCTGGCTGCCTCCCCTCGGGCTCGCTGCAACCTCCCCTCCCTGCAGCCTCCCCTCCCCGCAGCCTCCCCCTCCTGCCTGTAAGGAAGCGGCTGCTAAGTGGGGGATCAGTGATAACATATTGCACAACAGCAGATGGCATCTATATTTAGAGGCCCTTCAGAGGAAGGATTAATGCCATTTAGAACACACCACAGGCCAAGAAAACGAGAGTTGAGTGTTCCAAATGAATCCTTAAAAAACCTCCATTTGTCCCCTGTTACCCGCTGAGTTGTAACCTCCCCCCCAAAATTCATATGATTCATGTGTTGAAATCTTCACCCCCAGGACCTCAGAATGCAACCATATTTGGATATAGGGTCTTTAAAGAGGTGATTAAGTTAAAATGAGGTCATTAGGGTGGACCCTAATCCAATAGGACAGGCGTCCTTATACGAACAGGAAATTAGGTCTCAGACACACACAGCGGACACAGGGAAAAGATGTCTGTCTGCATGCCAAAAAGGGAGAGCTCAGAAGAGACCAGCCTGCCCACACCTCGATCTGGGACATGCAGCCTCCAGAACCAGAGAAAATAAATTTCTGTTATTTAAACCGCCCGGTCTGTGATACTTCGTTTTGGCAGCTGAAGCTCACTAGGGTCCCCCCATGTACAGAGGACAGAGCACCAAGTCCTTAGCTTGGTAAGATGGCTCCACCCACCCTCTTGGGTCCCTTCTGCCCCTTCCCATGCCTCCCCTCCTCCAGGCACGTGACCATTCACCCTGTTACCCCAAACACACCATGACCTTTCTTGCCACGGGGTCTTAGCACATGGCCTTCTCTCTATGGGGATCACTTGCTTCGCCCTCCTCTTGAAAAATGCAGCTCACCTTCCAGACTCAATTGAAATGCCCCCTCCCCGGAGAGGACCACCCCATATCTCTGACCCCCCACTCACACGGGAATCAGCAGCTTCTGCTCCGCCTCCTTCTTACTCGCCCTTCATGCCTGCAGGCTGGCCGGAGCTCCCTGGGGAGCCAGACTGTGTCTTTCTCAACTTTGAACTCCTGCTCATAATCATCTCCAGGACGAGGGAACTTCTTTCGAAGGAGTCATGGCGTGAGAAAGAGCAACCAGCAAGTGGCCAGCCAGGCTTTGCCGCCTGAAACAGCTCCACGATGCAGCAAACACAAATAGGACAGAAGCCACATATAAGCCAAATTAGGAACCCTGTGTTCTGGTTCTACTTTTCTGGCACTAACTTGCCATGACTTGCCCTATGGCACTGACCTCTCTCTCCATCTGAAGCTGGACTAGCTCATCCCTCGCTCTGAAAACAATCTAAGTGTTTGTGACTCTAGAACCTTGGACAAAATAAAAGAAAAAGGACCGTTTGCCCTTCCACTCCCACAATCATTCGTGCATTAATGTATTGCTCATGTACTGAGCATGGATAACCTGCCAGGAAAGTTGGAAGTTTTTTGGGCAAGCAACATTTGAGCAGGATCTTGCAGAAGGAGACTTAGAAGTGGGGGGGGGGGGAGACACATTTCCATAGAAGTTAAATTCCCCAACTTCAAAGAATCCTTCCAACTCTTACCAATGTTATGCTTTTCCATTCCAGGCACAGAACAGTGCGTCCTTTAAGCGTGAGTTGGAGGGAGGAAGAGGGAAGGTGGGAACACAGCAGACAAAGGTCAGAGGTGGAAAAGCAAAGCGCACAATGGGGAACGTGAGAGTCACGTTCTGGAAGAAGGAGGTACCCGCGGGCAGTGAGGAAGAGAACACAGTTTGGTTGGGGACACACTTTGAAAGAACTTGGAAGTTAACCTTCTGGGCAGTCCAGGAAGGTTTCTGACCTACAGAGGGCGAAGCAGATTTGTGTGTTGGGGAAAAAAAACTGCTGGAAGATGCTTGGAAGTGGGGTGGAGAGGCTGATTCTGAAGGAAAGAACCAGTTTGGAGGCCAAGGAAATGGCTCAGGAGACCCATGATGGGTCCTGGGTCAGGCCCCGAGCTGGGTTGCAGGAGGTGGCCTGGGTTCACCACAATGGCTCTGCTCCCTGTCTGCATCTGGGGATACAATCACGGCAGGCTGGCCCCAGCAGGACTGCTGATCGTTTCATTAGACCCCCAAATCCCCAGTAGAAATGAAAGAGCTTTGAATTCAATCATCAGTTGGAAAGCATCTCTTCTTATGAGCGCAATCCATTGCCCCCGCCATGCTCCTGCGCACGCACGCGGGCAGAGATGCGTCCCGAACCTTTATCTTTTCGTGGGAAGCCGGAGTTATGTAGCCTATTATTTAGTTTAGAGAAGATCTATGTGATTTAAATTGGAGGCTTCAGACAAATTGCATTTGAAATGGAAAGAGGGGTGAAGTAGCCAGATGTATCAATTTAGGAAGATAACCAGAGTATTCGGTGGCTACCGTGGCCTGTTTTATTCCACTGTTAACTTAAAAGACCGCAAGTCCGGTAACTCTAAATTTCTCAATCTGGGCCTTTGACAGGAAGCTGAAGGATTCATCTGTAGACTTCTTTATTTTTCATTAAGACCCAGGCCTTTTCTTCCCCAGTGAATGAAGACAACGCATCTGAATAGCAAGCTGAGCCTCATTCTCTTCCTGCCTCCCCGCAGAATCTATGTGGAAAACAAGTCTAGTTTGCTGGATTTAGATGGAAGGAGAGTGTAGAGCCAGGAGTTCTCAGAACAATGAGTACACAAGAGTTCCAGGAGACAGCCTGCCCTACCTAAAAAAAGGAAAACAGAGTGTCTATGAGTCTAGGAAAACAAAGAACAGCCTCGTAATGTCCTGTAATGTCAGCAAGAGCATCCTGGAAACTGCAAAATAGTTTGCAATTATAAATATTACTGTTACATCTATGATTATGAGAACATTCATCAGGAAGGGACCCCTCAGAATGACGGCGTCCTCATTTTACCCAGAAGCAAAAAAAAAAAAAAAAAAAAAATCAGCATCACCAATTAAACACCCACTTCTAACAGAACTCGAATTTTAGATCTCCCCCTGTGTTCGATGTCAGTCTGAGCTGCCCACTCAGACCACGTGGGATTGGAATCCAGGTTCAAACAGTTATAGACTTTTTAGCATTGGGTTGGGGAAGTAACCTTTCTGAGATTCGCATCCCTTGTTTGCAGATCGGAATAATGAAGGCACTTACATCCTCACGCGGTTGTTTGAGATGCACGTTAAAAAAAAAAAAAAAAAACACGTTTTTGGTAAAATGTTGACTGCAGCCCATGGTAAGGGCCCAATAAGTGATAGCTGTTCCCGTAGTCACTGTTTCCTTTTATTGGATTTGTCCAAAAAAGCAACTTGTAATCTCACCCTCATCTCTAAAAAAAGCTAGAGCTGGTCCTGCTCTCAGGTCTGAGTGTTTAAAAATATTTCCAAGGAAAGGCAGACGGGTTGGAGGGGGCGGGAGGCCCGAGGTATCTGGGGAGGGAAGACATCACAGATGGCCCATCAGGAACTTCACAGAGTGTCACATCCAGAGGTACCTGCCAGCTCAACCAGGGATGAATCTTCTATGAGGACCAGATGCTACTAATTGGCGAGGAATCCTGTGGCTGCCACCCAAGGAAGGGAACAAATTCTTTGCCACCACATGGCTCTTTTTTTCTCTTCCAAGTGCAATGTGTTAACTCTTTCAAATAGTCGTACAAGCTTCAGTCTCCAAAAGCCCACGTCCACATGTAGGAGTTTCTTAAGCAAGGTACTAGAGCACTGATTTCATTGATTCTGATTCTCTGCTCAACAAGCAATGCTTTCTCCTACATGATCTTTGGGGGAACCATTGAGGGCACCCCCGGATGGGAATTCAGCTTAGTGTTCCAGTGTGGGACACAGAAGTTTGATGCTTCCACTCTGCACCTGTTCCTCTCCTTAAACCATCCCATGTCTTTCTCTCCCTCCCAAATCATCACCTCTTTCAAAGATAAGGATTGGTCTTCATGCCCTCTACAGGGGGCTCCCGGAGCCTATCAAAGGACCTGCCACAGGTGAGAGCTTTGCTCAACAAGCAGATAAATATGACCCGGGCCCCCTTTACATTTTTAGCTTTCCCACTGCCTCAATTCCCATACCTCAAATTAACACCATCTGCTCCTGTCTCATCAAATTATTTTCCATCTCTTGAATACATCATGCACTCCCACACATCCATGCCTTCTTTCTGTCTAGAATCCCCCCATGAGATGGGCCAAGCCCCATAAAAGGAGAATATTACAGAACGGAGGTCATCAAAACTACAGCCCATGACTCCTGCCCACTTCCTGTGTTTGTCAATGAGGTTTTGGTGGGATACATCCAGGCCCATCTGTTGACATATTGTCTATGGATGCTTCTGTGCTCCAACAGCAGAGTTGAGTAGTTACCCTACAGATCTCATGGCCTGTCAAGCCTCAAAGAGTCACTTTCCGGCCCTTCTGCAGGGAAAGTTGCTGACCTGCATTTCAGAGGCAAAAGCATGCGTCGCTTAGCAGCGGACTCCAGCTTGAATCCTGCCTCTGCCCATCGGTGGGTAGCTGCGGTTATTTCCTCTCTAAAAAGGAGATAATAAGTCTATTTGACAAGACGATTCAAAAAGTATGTGAACAAAGGTCCTCGTGTGGTATTCAGCAAAGGGTGTGTGCTCAATAAATATTTCCCTGTCGCTCTCTCTCTCTTTCTTCTTTCTCCTTTGTATCAGTGAGCTCAGGCTGCATAACAAAATACCACAGCCTCTGTGGCTTAAACAACAGAAGCTTATTTTCTCACAGTTCTGGAGGTTGGAAAACCAAAATCAAGGTGCCTTTATCCTCCACTTGCCGATGGCCACCTTCTCACTTCTCACATCACCTTTCCTCTGTGTTCATGTGGAGAGAGAGCCCTCTGGTGTCTCTTCCTCTTCTTATAAGAACTCCAGTCCTATAGGGTTAGGCCCACCGTCATGACCTCATTTAGTCTTCATTCCTTTTTTTTTTCTTTTTTTTTAATTTTTTATTGTTATGTTAATCACCATATATTACATAGTCTTCATTCCTTTTTAAAAGCCCTATCTCTGAATACAGTCTCACTGGGGGTTAGGACTTTACCCTATGAATTGGGGGTGGGGAGCACACAATTCAGTCCATTACACAACTTGATTCACTTTCCTTCTCCTCTAAACTTCTTGTTAATCCACCTGGGATAGGTTGTATTATTGGCCCCATTCTTCACCCTTCCTTCCTTATATCTACACCCTTTGCCATGTGCTTTTACATTTCCCCTCACTAAAATGGCAAACCCTTTGACCTTGGGCTCAACCGTGTGACTTGCACTGGCCAACAGAATGAGGCAGAAGTGGTAGTGTCCCAGCTCCAAGCTTAGATCTTAAATGAACTCAAAATTTCCACTTGCTTTCCTGAGTCTTTGTCATCACCATGAAAAGAACATTCCCCAGCCCAGCCTGCTGGTCCCAGTAAAGCAGCTGCTTCACTTAACTCCAGCCTGGATCAGCCAGGCTCCAGCCAACCCAGGAAATGTGACTGAGCCTAGCCAAGATCAATAGAGCCAGTGAGCCAAGTCTGTGCCAACCAACCCCAGCTGACCCACCAATTTATGACCCGCAGATCTCTGTTCCTTAATGGGAGATTTTGGGTTGCCTGTTAACAACAATCTTGTGTTATTAGCTAACTGATGTATCACCATTCATTCTTCGAGATCCAACTATAATACCACCTTGTTTGGATTCAAACTCTAGCCTCCCCATTTACTAACTATGCCATTTGGGGTAGGTGGATCAGCCTCTGTTTCTTCTCTCTACAATGAAGATAAGAGCATGACACCATAGTTATTGTGAGATTAAGGTGCAGATATTTAGGTAAGACAATGAATAGTAGATACTAAATAACCGTTGGCTTCCTTTCCCCTTCCTTCCTACTACAGGATGCTTTCCAAGAAGTGCTGGGATAGAAGCAGTCACTTCTCACACTAAGTTTTTCACCTCCCTCTGTGCATATTACTTGTCATTTGGTCTGCTCCCCTCACTAGTTTGTGCAGATGTTTTCAAATAGCAGTAGCCATCAGAATCACCTAGAGGCAATTTCAAACACACCAGTGAACAATCTCCATTTTAGTCCTGCTAAATATTTATGTTCAAGAAAGTATACATAAATTCCCAATCCTTATATATATTCTCCCCTGTTAAGAAGCAATGAGCAGGAGACCTAGGGAAGCAGAAACCGTATCTCAGGATCACTGAATCTCTGCATTCCCCATCCGGCTTAACACAGAGAAAATGCTCAATATGTATGTTTTGAATGAATGAACTTTTTTAAATGCACACCTCTATGGAGAATCACAGCATTGAAGAGCTGACATGAAGCCTTGTTTTCCCATTGCAGAAGCTGAGGTCCAGTCTTAAGATTAGAAAGGTATCCCCTAATTTCAAACTGAGTGCTCTTCCCAGACAGAATGGGCTGACTTCAGAGAAGGCAGGAAACCTCCCATTCCCAGAGTTGTCATTTCTTGAATGTGTTGCCCTTGCCCACCTCAAGGCCCTCAGCCCCTCTGTGGAAGTGCAGACTGTGGGGATAAACAGCCCTGCATTTGGGTCCAGGAAAAGAAGGTCATGGGCAGTCTTACCCAAAGACTGCTATGGGCCCCAGTAGGGCCGGAGGGCATAAGACAAGGTGGACCCTCTTTTAGAGCAACAGGTTGTTTATAACAGTGGACACTCAGGGTGATTTAAATTGGAACCTCCATTCCTCAAAAAAGTGAAAGTAGAAATACCATATGATCCAAGAATTCGACTACTGCATATTTACCCAAAGAAAATGAAAAAACACTAACTCAGGGGCAGAGCAAGATAGCAGAGGAGTAGGAGACCTGGATTTCATCTGGTCTCAGGAATTCAGCTGAATAGGGATCAAACCATTCTGAACACCTACGAACTCAACAGGAGATCAAAGAGGAGAGTAGCAACAACTCTCTGAACAGAGAAGCGACCATTTACTGGAAGGTAGGACACGCGGAGAAGTGAATCCGAGGCGATATTTGGGAGGATAGATGGCGGGGGAGGGGCCTCCATCGGCCGCTTCTGGCAAGTGCTACAGCCGCGGAGCACAAAATCGGAACTTTTGGAAGTCGGTTCCGCTGAGGGACATCACTCCAGTGGCTAAGTGGGAGGTGGAAACCTCGCGGGACAGTGTGGACTCAGGACCCTCGGGGTCACAGAAAGACCGGGGGTGCCTGAGTGCAGCAGAGCTCCCAGGTATCAGAGCGGGGAAGCCGGCTGCAGAGACGGAGCCGAGGCGCGGGCTCTCAGCTCGGGGTGGCCATAAACTGTGAACCGTGGCCCAGTCGGGCCACTGTTCCTCCAGCAGGGACCCAACAAGCAGCAGAGCCGGGGAGACTCCCCTTCTTCCCCCAGGAGGAGCGGCGTGGGAGCACACCGCAGGGATCTGCCGGGTTTGGAGACTCTACACGGGGTCGGGTGCCAGAGATAAAAACGCTCGGTCACAGGCCGGGTGAGCACGGAGTGTGGCCGGAGACCGGGGACACGGGAGTGACTGACTGCTTTTCTCTGGGGGTGCACTGAGGAGCGGGGCCCCGAGTTCTCAGCTCCTCTGGGCAGAGAGTGGGAAGCCACCATTTTCACCCTGGTCCTCCAAAGCTGTACCGAGAGCTTGCAGGGAATAAAATCTCCTGAGAGCAAACCCGAGCAGCTTGCTTAGCCCAGACAGACAAGAGCGGGGCAATTCCGCC